AATTGTGAATTAACATGGATCTTTTACTGGTGATACTTCGCTTCTTCCTGGCATTAAACTGATACTTTGTGAATGCAGTTTCCTTGATACTGTACTAATTCATTTTCCATTCCATTTAATACTGTACTCTTTAGTCTCACTGTTGTTTATGGTATGTAATTCGTTTCTAATATATCAGTTTACATACATTGTTGCCCAATATGGTCAGTTTCACAACTGCTTCCAGTAAAAACCAAGGCCAACACCTTTATTGGGAGTGTGTTTTGTTTTGTGTAACTGTCCTGATGGGTGGGAATAAAAACCTGCAGACTTGTACATTTTGAGAACCACTCAATCATGAGTCATAAATGATCTATAAAACCACAAATATTGTATCTTTTAAATAAGGGACAAACACATCAGAAGCTAGTTAAACTCTCTAAACTCTAGCTTTATTGCTTCCTTTCCTATTTATTTAACCCAGTCCACCAAATATTCCCAATCCAAAACTTCAGCATTTCTATGGATTTGAGGGTAAAAACCACTTACTTCTCACAAGCTCCACCTCCAGGAAGTCCATGTCCATATCCCCTCGCTCTGACTGGTCGTCTTCGTAGGGGTCATAGAGGTCGTAGCTGTCCATTGTTTCATCCTCTCCAATCAATTCCAGCTTGGGGGCGAGAAGTCCGGTCCTGCCATTGGCCGACGGTTGCAAGTTGGTGCGATCTGGACTCTCCTGGTGAGCAGGACGATGAGAGAAATGCGTTTTGTGACAACCGAAGTCCTTGTTTTATCAATTTTACAGTGCATCTTATACAGGCCGTACCTGGTCCAGCTTGTCGTGTTGGGGCGAGTACTGCTGCTCCTCGATACTGAAGAGATGCAACACCACAGAGATAGAGAAAAGGACGGCAGCGAAGAAGAACAAGATCTGCTCCTGGGACTTGAAGATTGCTCCAAGGAAGGTGTGCGTCCAGTCTAAACCTCCGAGAGCGTAGCCGACCGCACCGCCGAGGCCTGCACACACGACCGAAATTTAGACTTAAACGTAGGAAGGAAAGGATTGCGTTTGAGCTCATTTTCTCTTTTAGTGTGAGTTCAACAAGTCGTTATTGTGCGACACGTGTGTCAGTCATAAGCAATACCTGCTGAGGCGGCGTGGATGTTGAGTGCCATGTCTTGTTCCTCGGTGTCTGCCACGTCTAGAAGGTACGCTCTGATTGGTCCTTCTGTTGCATCCGCACTAAAGTCCAACACCACCACTCCAAGCACAGTGAGAACAATTCCTATTGGTTGTTTCCCCTTCTCGTCGCCCATGGACAAACCTAACGGAGAAAGAAATGTAATTATAAAATAAATAATATAGAACGCTATTCGATTGTTAAAAACAGAAAGAGGTGCAGATTAAATGTTTATATCTAATAGACATGACAGATGTAGACATGGGAATTGTCTATGTGTCGCTTTTAAAGGGTCAGTTCACTTAAATTACAAATTAAAAGTAGATAGTAGATTTTTTTATTTATCTTTTAGTACATTTTCATATGAGTGAATGTACGCAGGCCTTGATGTGTGTTTGATGCAATGATGTAAAACAAAAAGGTCAATATATATCAACAGAATGGGAATATAAGTTATATCAACAGCACATGTACAAGAAGAATATTAATTATAAATTTACATTTTACAGATTCTATATATTAAATATTAAATATAATCACTTTCTACATCCACGCACAAACATCTGGAAGTGTCACGCTGATGTTACCCTTGCCAGAGCTGCACATGTGATTGATAACTGATAACTCAACCGAGTTGCAACAACTGCACAACACAAAAGACACACACAAATGGGTCACTGCACATTACCCATACTGCTTTGCATGACGTGTGTGACCTTGTATGTCTCATTACATTTGTGACCTAGTCATCGCCTAGAGCTGCTCAGTATGTGTTTGTGTCTGACGGCCTAAGAGAGAAATTGTGTGAATGTATGAACACAGAGCGAGATGGGAAACTCTGTGTGTGTGTGTGTGTGTGAGAGAGAGAGAGAGAGAGGAACAGGGAAAATTGAATATGTGGTTGTGTGTGTGTGTGGTGGTGTGTGTGGTTGTGTCGTGTTGGTGTGTGTAGGAGTTATATCACAAGCAGTAGTGATGCAGCATGACTTTACAAACTGAAATCTAATTAACGTCGGGGAACAAACGTTCATAGAAGGAACAGCAGAAAGGTGTGTGTGGTTGTGTGTGTGTGTGGGGGGGGGCACAAATGGAGAAAACACTACTCACTATCCAGGGCAGACAGACAGGAAGTGAATTGTGATTGGTGGAAAGGGGAAGTGCAAACAGGAAAATTTCCCTGTGAACTGCTGCTCTTGGTTTCCCATGGTCAACACAACACGCCACTCATGTAAGGTTTACTACATTTTTCCCATGTCACCCTGTGTTGTTTATACACATCAATACACACACACACCCACACACACCACCACACACACACACACACACACAACACAACACACACATGATTGTGTCACACAGATACAGGTCACTGCTTTTTCCCAGGTCAACCCTGCTGGGAAGGTGCTCTCTCTCACACACACACACACCTGCACACAGACACACACATACACCCACACACACTCCCTGGTGCCCTAAAACGACCTGAGTGCCAACCTCTCTGCAGAAGAATGGAGGTAGAACAAAAAAGAATTGAATAGAACAGAATCTGCTGACAGAAAACGGTTCACACAGCTCTCGTTCTCGTTATTTATAACTCACAATTCATTTCACTTTGTTCTATTTAGGGACATTTAAAAAGGCCCAGTCGGCTATTGTTGCGCTGCACATTTGTCACTCAGTCCACATTTGAATACAGGACATGTATTTACTCTAATATATTATGTGGGCTGGGATTTCAAGACCAAAAATGATCTCCAATACTAAGACAGTACCAGGTAACATTACTCTTGCTATTACTGTGATAAATGTGGTGTGATCAGTATATTTTACAACTACAAATCTAAGTTTTCTTAAACAAATGGTAGTTAACATTAGAAGAGCCATAAAATGAATGAAAGTGTTTTTTATAGTGTATTTTTCTCTCTTGAAGTGCAAACAGGCGCCAGCACAACTGCCTGCCTGCGACATTATTATACTGTACGTGCCATGTTTACTCATTCTGCTTCTCATTAAAAGACATAATTATCATCTGAAATTCAATAATCGAAACTATGAAAATAATTCAAGATACTACATCAGAGACTAATACATTGTATATAACTACAACTCTGAATTATGTCCAACTGAGTACAATTTGGAAAGACATTAATACCAGCAGAAACTGAAATTAAATCTACATTAAAATGGTTGTTAATGTTATAATTTGTAAGCCACAATTTCAAAACAAATAGAATAGATTGCAATTAAATGTGTTTTATTCTTAATTCAGATTCACCTGAATGAGAAATCTGGGTTCAAGGCATTTTCATTCATGTAATGCATGTTAACGGCTGCCAACAGTGGACCAACCACAGGCAGTATTACAGTGTGTCTTGTTTGTAATGTACTAAAACAACTAGTTGACCAATCACTTAGTCCAGTGACCAAAATGTCATTGATAATTGATTAATTCGGTCATTTATCAGCAAGAAATGTCCCAAAACTCTGCCCAACCTGGTTTAAGCTTTATCAAAAGTAATCCAGGGGTTAATCGATGTTGAATCGTAACCCTAACCCACTAAATCGTTGTTGTTTTTTTAATTAATGCTCCGACAAAGCTAAATCGGTGGAGTACTCTTTTTAAACCTTTTAAAAACACTTGCACAACCTACCATCATTTTAATGCCAGTGGCCTAAATTTTGACCAATATTGCACAAGACTGAGATTAACAAGTGGATTAACCACTTTCACTGGCTGGGAATTTGTTTTCTGGGTTGTGATATTGTGTAACACAAGTGGTCAGTTTTATAGTTCATATGTATACAAAAAGGATGTGACGATAAAAAAGTCCACTCAGCTTAAACCTCTGTTTGTCGTATGTTTACGTGTGTACAGGAAGATCTGGTCAATGACATTACAACCGGAACTGCGCTGATACAGTTAGCACGGAAATCAATATCTGTGCGGCGTGATTGACAACTGATCAATTTGTTTGATTGGATTAGATGAATATATCCTTGGAATGACATTTGGATGACGTAATGAGCTGAGGGTCACGCATCAGTCACGACTCTAAGCTGTCAGTGAAGCTTTTGGTACGTGATGCTCCGCTGATTGTAGAAGGAAGCTGTTCTTTTATTAACTCTGTGGCACAAGTGCATGCTGGGAGAAACTGCAAGTTTTGGGCTTCAATTCCCACTGAGGCCTTGATGGGGCTCAGGGGGTTTAGATAACAGTGTTCAGCAGATGGCATAAAGTAAACTTCTGTATTTTTAGACCAAAATGTAACATGTGTCAGATCATGAGTTTGTATTTGAAACGGTCGACTTTTACATTATTGTTTTGCTGCTTTTTGTTTCTCTTTCTCTTCATTTACTCCTGAAATGCAGTTTGCCAGAGGAGCTTAAATCCACTTGTGGTCGTGCTGTATGCTACACACATTTCAATCCTGCATGATTGGCTTTATGTTTACTCACCTACCTTACCAGAGTGATTTAATATCTTACTATAATCTTTTTTCCTTTACAAGACTTTATTCATTGTATTAAAAAGAACTGAGTTAAAAGAGAATGAGAGCGGCTTGTTATAACAGTGTACAGTGGAGTAGATTGAGCTTATCTAGCTCAATAAACATTTTCTGCTACTGTGAATTTGTTTGTTTGTTTTGTATGTTTGTGTTTATTCTGGGACAGAAATATAAGAAATGTGTGTATCTGATTGGATTTTATGCGTATAAGAAAGAAAATAATCTGTTCTGAGGTGGAAATGATAAACTGTACATAAAAAACATCAGCAGTACGCACCTTATCTGCAATTTAAATATTTGATAATAACCTAAAAAAATTACATTAACATAAATTTAAATAATATAATAGGTTTTGTTTTGACCAGTTTGCTTCTCTATGTCATCTATGTTCACATTAAGTATGTCTGTACTCATTTTATGGAAGCATTACTTGAGCAGAAGCTGTTTCCAACAGACACATTTAATGATTTGCACAAGTGTGACTTAAAGCAACTATGAGAAATTGCAGCTGAGATTGTACCATTTCTGTCCTGTTTAAATTAAACACAAAGAATAAGAATAATTTACTAAAAGGAAACAGCCACCTGGTTGTTGATTGAATAACACCAACTCACCAATCAGCGATCCATTCAGAAACAGAGCCACTCCTAACAGCGTTCCTATGCAGAGAGCCAGGATGAACGGCCTCCTCCTGCCCCATCGCAGAGTGCAGCGGTCGCTGGCCGAGCCGATCAGAGGGGTGAACATGAGGCCGAGGACTGGACTGAGGAACCACGTCAGACTGTAGTACTGCTCTGGAAGACCTGCACACAGAGAGACAGAAAGGTATGAGTTATAAACGGAGATGTAGACAGGTAGAGAGAACACTGAGACAGGTGCTGAAAGATAACCAATAAACAGCTGGGATTAGAAAACAAAGTCATCCACCAGGGGGTGCAAGTAACATCCTAATTGTAGAAGAGAGGGACGGGATTGGTTTCAATTAAAATGAATATCTTTCAACTGGAATCAGCCTTCAAGACAATAAATTAAAGCGTATGCATTTGATTTTTAAATTGGTTTATTAAGTGTGTTAAGTCTACAATAAATATAATAAAAATATAAAAATATGTTTATTTATATTCTAATTAGATGGACTGTGACAGTTTTATATTTACCCGGCATTGTTCACTTTAATCAGAAGTTATGTTAATAGTATCCAGCTGTTGTGATGTTAATTGGCACATAATTTATAATATAATAAAACAACATTTTTAGTTAATTGCTACATATGACAACGATGTAGCTGCAGTCACAGGTGTACAGCAATATAAACTGACCCTTGTGTTTGTTTTGTCACCTAAGAGATGACCTGAGGCGGACTTTTTCAAAACCCTGTTAAGTCCCACACAAAGGTAAAGGGAAGAAAGTCACGGCAACCGTACACATCAAGAGGATTTATCTGTGTGTGAACATTCAGCCTGGATTATCACACAAAGGCCTGCAACATCAAATACTGTGTGCTGGTTTATCCAGAGAAAATGAACAGGAGCTTGGAGACTCAGTGATCAAGTTTCTTGGGCTTTTGTGAGAAACAAACACAATAGAAAACATCCCACAACATGAATATTGTTATAATGAGCTCATAAATGGATAAAACAAATATCTTTGTGCTGCTTTTTTTTTAAGTAATGTTCCTGTAATTTCTGACAACTAGTACTTAAACAGACTCATTAAACTCATGAACTTGAGCTCATAAAAAGTAACTGAATGCTGACTAATAGCAAGACCAGATGAAGAGAGAAAAAAAGCATCTTTTTCTCTCCTGATTCCAAACATTTGATTCCTTTGTTGATGGTTTTAAATTTAAAAGAATATTCATTTCCTGAGTTAACTCGGAAACCCTGTCTGTCATGTGTGAGTTTATTAGGAACATAATTTATTATATTAATTTTCCACTGCTGGAAACCAGGTGGGGATTATAAACACACGAACACTGCATGACAGGGTCTTAAATTAGGATGGGTCAGTGGAAATAATTTTGGATCTTGAGCTAAACAGACACACACAGGATGCAGCAACATAATGGAAACACATACTCTTCAGTACACATGCTTTCAATAGCGTTGACTAATATCACACAACAGGCTGCAACGCGATCACGCAAACCTATCACCAACTAAACCTCTTCTTAATTAACTCCTCATAAAACCTTTCAACTGTGGCAGTTAAAGTAGGGCAGCAGACACGCCCTTAAAACACACGCTTACAATTATATTAGACGTTACTTTGGTTAGTAGCCTGATAAGAAAGAAGGGGATTGAAAAGCATTATTATATAATAGATCAGATTACCGAGAGGAGGAGAGTGAATCACCACAAAATAGGTCACATTTCTGACACCAATTACTTTTACTGAATTCAAATCTTCCTATTTATAATATTTGATCAGAAATCAACCACAGTTTCACACAGATTACAGCTGTGCTTGGATTTGATCCATAAAATGCTTTAAATCAATATATTTAAATATTTTCAGCAGCTAATTTGAATAACAAAGGCAAGTCTCGTCAGCCTATCGGGGTCCAGAAGTGTGGTTGCAGCTGTAAGGACGTACACCTGTTCTGGGCACAAAGTCATTCAAGTGGGCGAGCAAAAGCTGAATCATCCTGTCTCTACCAAAAGCTCTGAGTCATATCCACAGCATGCAACATCTCACTTTAAAAACACATTGTTAGCCTTATCTTTGCTTGTGTGAACTTTGTGAGTTTGCTTTACCTCCAAACTGTTTTCAGACCTTATTTTATTGTTTGTTTATGACAGTCAGGAAACCCTGAAGACTCAAAACTTGGTACCTCTAGTAACACCTAAACATGTCTGGAGGGATAATGTCAAGTAGGCTAAGTTCAATAGTTTTATGAACCTTAGTGACTGCCTCCAATATGTCAGCTAATCAGGTGGATTGTTTATATTTCAGGTACAAAGTCTTAAAATGCACTCAACTCATTCAACTTCTAACTGAACTACTTTTATGTGCGAAGCACCACAAAGACCATAATGTCCTAAAAAATGTTTTAAAAATCACATTACACTAATTTGCAGATATATTTTCTTGTGTGTTCTTGTAACTACTGAACTCATAATTAAAACATTCCTCACACTGAAAACAATGTTCTTGGTATTTTTATTATTTGTTACACAAGAGCTTAATCTCATAGCGTGTTTACACTTTAATAAAATGATTCATCACATAATGAAATCAGAGACAACACTGCCCATGGATGCCAAAATAACATCAGACTCCACCCTTGGACGCAGAACTATTATTTCACTGAGCTGCTGAAAGGAAGATGAAGAGGAGGAGGAGGCGACTTCTGAGGGAGCAGACAGTCTTTAGCTAAGTGAAGTCAGCTGAATCTCGAATAATTAAATCAGAACTTAATCGCAGTCTCACTGCCAAACCGTCGCTTAATGCGTCTCACTTAGAAAGAAGACAAATGCATTAAGTGTCATTTGGCTGCCATTCTATCCTCCCCATATAGACACACTGAAAATATCTACTCATGGAATCTGTCCCAATCTAGAAGTCTCTGGCTGCAGTTTGAAGGTACGCCAGCCTAAGTTGGCTCAAATACTGATCAATAGCTCTGCTTAAAGTTTGGAAATAACCCTTTGAACTTAACAAAACTAAAGTGGTAATTATGTTTTAGCCAAAATGCCTTCAGAGTGTCAGATAGTGTCTGAAACCGCACACATGGAGTCTGTCTACAACTTTAAAATGACTATGATTATTTATTTTTTTAAACGTACAATATGTAGTCTCACTAGGGGGGATTCTCACATCAAAACAATAAGAAAAGACAAAGTTTGAGGATGTCTTGAAGTATAATAGGAATCCTTCAGTGTTGATCATTCAGACAGTTTCTACCGAGAGTCCAATTATGACCCGGTGATTAAACCAGTAAAAAAAAAACTAGTTTCGTCAAAAAAATCGATGTTTCTCCGATGTCGTTTGTTGGATAAATGACGTCCAGTCACTTCCCAAAAATATTCCTTTAAGTGACATCATGTAAAATCCCCTCTTACTTATTGTTAAATCCACATTAATCTCAAAGTAAGAGCTTTGCTGCAGATCAATATGAGGTAGATGCCACTGACATTTTACTCCTCAGTGAACAAAAGAGATGCAACGACTGAAGAAAACTGAAAGCGAGAGCAAGTTAATGGCAGCTAATTTAATTGTGAGGAGCATTAAGCTCTTGGAGATTTAAAATGCACTTTTAAATATCTCAAATAGACCTCTTTAATGAGACAAAACATCAGTGACTGAGTGCCATGGTATCTAATTATCATGCGCTTGCCTTAAAATGCCCCACCACCTGCACGGATCCATTAACAGACTTTTATATCAGTTTCTAAATACAGTCTGAGGTGTGACTCAGTCTGTCTGGATCTGCTGACTGAGGCTGTATCCAGTATAATAGTTTGACTGATTGTTGACCAAAAGCATAGAAGACATGAAGCTCATTTGGTTGGTAAATTCAGGAATTTTTTTGTTTGACTAAGCAAAGTTGGGTGTCCTTGAGTGTGATGTTTGTGGGGCCATTGTTGTTCTGGAAGTTTGGGAAGGAATGTTTGTTTGCAAAACACTTCTGTCATGTGAAAACCTCCCTGCTGCAATCGTGGTAATTTTCATGTTTTCACCGCTGTTGATTAATCACATGTTTCTCGATGTCAGGAGGGATATGGTCTTTTGACCTCTCGCAGTCTGTGACAAGAGCCAAAAGGGCAACAACATGCTTTACAATAATAAAAATGATGCTGCAGCCTAAAAAAAGTGTCAAAAGTTATGATACTGTTAACTTCCAGATTAAGCTTTCCTGTCTGTCTATGCCTGAATGTGACATTGAGAAGCAGCAGCTCTTCACACCTTCTACCGAGTATTTTAACCTAGAAGTCTGCCAGGAATACAAGTATATGAAGAGTTTTTTGAGGAAAGTGCATAGCAAGAAATCAATCACAGGAAAACATGGTTTTGCAGGATTTTTAAAGATTGATTTTTCCACATTTTTCAAGATAAAGAAAAAGGGAGAGAGAGCAACAAACGTCGCCAGCAGGAGTTGAACAAGGGATATTGCAAATACATGGTACGTTAGACAACTATAGACCGCAAGGATGCCCAGCACTGTTTCTGATCGAAACTTAGTTGAACAAAACAAAAGAGCTACTCAGAGGATTGTAATGCCTTTCGTTGTAGCTTCAGGCAGTCGCAAGTTAGTCAGAGGTCAGGCGTTTACTAGTCTACTATCTACTATTTTACCATGTTGTTGTACAGGCTTTGTTTCTGCAAAACACATGATCATGATGATCAACACCCGCACCCACCAGCAGGTTACAGGTTAGTTACAGTCACAGCCTTATTATGAGTCAGGAAAAGCCCTTGTTAGAAAAACTGATATGATTGTGACACATCTCGTCACTGTAACAGCTGTTCATGTCATGAAGCACTTGAATCGGGTGCATTGAACACTGCTGAGCCAACCTGCCAGCCAATATAAAGCAACACTGATTACTATCCATAGTATCCGTAATATTACGTAGGGTACTTCGGCCCATGGCACAAAACTGGACTGTAGTTAATTTAAGGCCTGCAACTAATGATAATCAATTGAATAATTAATCAATTAAAGTTAATCAAATAACTGCTCTGTCTACAAAATGTGAGAAATTAGTAAAACAAATGCTAACCACAATCTCCCAGAGGCCAATGTTGTGGCTTCAAACTGCTTGTTTTGTCCAAAACCCTTTTCAGATATTCTATCACA